AGTACATGGGATCTTTACATATTATCTTATATCATATGGGGTCTTTACATATCTCATAGTACACAGGATCTTTACATGGGATCTCATAGTACATTGGATCTTTACATATTATCTTATAGTACATGGGATCTTTACATATTATCTCATAGTACACGGGATCGCTTAGTACATGGGATCGTTACATATTATCTCATAGTATGCGGGATCTTTACATAGTGCATAGTACACAGGATATTTACATGGAATCTCATAGGACACAGGACCTTTACATGTTATCTTATAGTACATGGGATCTCTACATATTATGTTATAGTACACAGGATCTTTACATATTATCTTGTAGTACACAGGATCTTTACATATTATCTCATAGTACACGAGGTCTTTACATGGGATATCATAGTACATGGGGTCTTTACAATGTATATCATAGTACACAGGTTCTTTACATATTATCTCATAGTACACAGGATCTTTACATGGGATATCATAGTACTCAGGATCTTTACATGGGGTATCATAGTACACAGGGTCTTTACAGTGGATATCATAGTACACAGGATCTTTACATATTATCTCATAGTACACAGGATCTTTACATGGGATGTCATAGTACACAGGATCTTTACATGGGATGTCATAGTACACAGGATCTTTACATATTATCTCATAGTACACGGGATCTTTACATGGGATATCATAGTACACAGGGTCTTTACATGGGATATCATAGTACACAGGATCTTTACATATTATCTCATAGTACACAGAATCTTTACATGGGATATCATAGTACACAGGATCTTTACATATTATCTCATAGTACACGGGATCTTTACATGGGATATCATAGTACACAGGGTCTTTACATGGGATATCATAGTACACAGGATCTTTACATATTATCTCATAGTACACGGGGTCTTTACATGGGATATCATAGTACACAGGATCTTTACATATTATCTCATAGTACACAGAATCTTTACATGGGATATCATAGTACACAGGATCTTTACATATTATCTCATATTACATGGGGTCTTTACATGGGATATCATAGTACACAGGATCTTTACATATTATCTCATAGTACACAGAATCTTTACATGGGATATCATAGTACACAGGATCTTTACATATTATCTCATATTACATGGGGTCTTTACATGGGATATCATAGTACACAGGATCTTTACATATTATCTCATAGTACACAGGATCTTTACATGGGATATCATAGTACACGGGATTTTTACATATTATCTTATAGTACACAGGATCTTAACATATTGTAAGGAAACCTAGTATATTCAATCCTCATGCGGTAGTTTCCTCCCGAACGGCCAGAGCATCAGTGATTATAGCTCTCCGTTCGGTAGATAGAATAGATGAAATCCATACGAATACAAATAGCTTTACAAGAGGATTCCCTTAATAAAGCATACGAATCCCCAAACATCAGCCGAAGTCAAGAAGAAGGGTACAACAGAACTGGCTTTTAATGGCCACACACTGGCTTTTATGCAATTCCCCATGCAAGGGGACATCCCACAGAGAGGGACAAAGTACATCCAATCATTAACAAGGAAAACATAAAACACTCCAAGCACAAACATACAATTCCCTCCCCTAGTCCGGGAGATAATCAAGTCTGATAAAGTAATAAAAGAAAAATCACAATTTTCCCCAATATTCAGAACACCCCTTTAGGCATGGGGTATCCCCACAAATAATATGTCCCCGATCTGGGTGATCAACATATTCAAATTTCAATGTGTTAAAAAAAAATTAAATATAGATATAATAGAATGGGTATATACATATGTTATTATGGAATATTCTTAAAGGTGCAGTTGGTGTGACTTATAATGATGACTTTATTACATCAAGGATTTCTGCACCAGGGTCATCATTGCTTCCCTGTTCTCTCCATTTTTTGTCTCCATTTTGAGGGTTTCGCCTAATATGGACGTTTAGGGTGTGTGTCACCTTAAGGACACAAAAGTGGATGAGATCAGAGCCGATCCTTAAGAGGCTCTAGACCATGTGAGTGAATCCAGTATAAGATATTTCTCTCACCACTATACCAATCATATTGCACCATATTTTATATATTTCATTTTTAGGATTTTCCCACCCATTGTCTATATCTCCTGAGAAATCCAGGTGTAAGTGTTCGTTTATTTGTTAAAACGCTACACACTTCTCACTACTTGGCATTTATTTGGACAATAGCGTTTTTTTTAACACATTGGATTTCTAGTAGGTTGGAGAGTTCGGACTTTAGTGTGGAAGCTGCTATCACTTTTTCTTGTACTGTATTGTATTTTATTCTACCATAAGCACCTTTTATCACAGAATATCCACCCCATTTTACTATATTCAAATTTCACCCAGATTGGTTCAGGTGTTCTCAAAAAGTGTGGAAATCTTTTGTGACGGCTAACCGCGAGGTGGCTGCCAAAATTTTTTCCAGGAGTTTGGGTGTTTTGCCGGTCTATTCAGTTAAGTGGCAAAAATCGAATAATTCCACGAATGGATTCCCCTGGCTCTTAGCAGCGATTGTTCCCCTCATTTGAATGCACAAAAGTACTGAATAGCGCTCTTCTAGCTATTTGGGAAATAGAGATCCAGCGCTCGCTTGTTGAGACCGGCGTTTGGGAAATCGAACGCTGGCCGCACAGATAGAGGGTTCAATTGAAGCATTCTTTGAAGTTTAACGAGCCAGGGGGTGGTCTGTGTTCGGTAGTTATATCTATCAAATGAATAGGGAAGAAATATTACACATAAAAGAGGGATTTCTTCACACATACAGGGAGTGCAGAATTATTAGGCAAATGAGTATTTTGACCACATCATCCTCTTTATGCATGTTGTCTTACTCCAAGCTGTATAGGCTCGAAAGCCTACTACCAATTAAGCATATTAGGTGATGTGCATCTCTGTAATGAGAAGGGGTGTGGTCTAATGACATCAACACCCTATATCAGGTGTGCATAATTATTAGGCAACTTCCTTTCCTTTGGCAAAATGGGTCAAAAGAAGGACTTGACAGGTTCAGAAAAGTCAAAAATAGTGAGATATCTTGCAGAGGGATGCAGCACTCTTAAAATTGCAAAGCTTCTGAAGCGTGATCATCGAACAATCAAGCGTTTCATTCAAAATAGTCAACAGGGTCGCAAGAAGCGTGTGGAAAAACCAAGGCGCAAAATAACTGCCCATGAACTGAGAAAAGTCAAGCGTGCAGCTGCCACGATGCCACTTGCCACCAGTTTGGCCATATTTCAGAGCTGCAACATCACTGGAGTGCCCAAAAGCACAAGGTGTGCAATACTCAGAGACATGGCCAAGGTAAGAAAGGCTGAAAGACGACCACCACTGAACAAGACACACAAGCTGAAACGTCAAGACTGGGCCAAGAAATATCTCAAGACTGATTTTTCTAAGGTTTTATGGACTGATGAAATGAGAGTGAGTCTTGATGGGCCAGATGGATGGGCCCGTGGCTGGATTGGTAAAGGGCAGAGAGCTCCAGTCCGACTCAGACGCCAGCAAGGTGGAGGTGGAGTACTGGTTTGGGCTGGTATCATCAAAGATGAGCTTGTGGGGCCTTTTCGGGTTGAGGATGGAGTCAAGCTCAACTCCCAGTCCTACTGCCAGTTCCTGGAAGACACCTTCTTCAAGCAGTGGTACAGGAAGAAGTCTGCATCCTTCAAGAAAAACATGATTTTCATGCAGGACAATGCTCCATCACACGCGTCCAAGTACTCCACAGCGTGGCTGGCAAGAAAGGGTATAAAAGAAGGAAATCTAATGACATGGCCTCCTTGTTCACCTGATCTGAACCCCATTGAGAACCTGTGGTCCATCATCAAATGTGAGATTTACAAGGAGGGAAAATAGTACACCTCCCTGAACAGTGTCTGGGAGGCTGTGGTTGCTGCTGCACGCAATGTTGATGGCGAACAGATCAAAACACTGACAGAATCCATGGATGGCAGGCTTTTGAGTGTCCTTGCAAAGAAAGGTGGCTATATTGGTCACTGATTTGTTTTTGTTTTGTTTTGGAATGTCAGAAATGTATATTTGTGAATGTTGAGATGTTATATTGGTTTCACTGGTAATAATAAATAATTGAAATGGGTATATATTTGTTTTTTGTTAAGTTGCCTAATAATTATGCACAGTAATAGTCACCCGCACACACAGATATCCCCCTAACATAGCTAAAACTAAAAACAAACTAAAAACTACTTCCAAAAATATTCAGCTTTGATATTAATGAGTTTTTTGGGTTCATTGAGAGCATGGTTGTTGTTCAATAATAAAATTAATCCTCAAAAATACAACTTGCCTAATAATTCCGCACTCACTGTATTATCTCATAGTACACAGGATCTTTACATATTATCTCATAGTACACAGGATCTTTACATGGGATCGCATAGTACACGGGATCTTTACATAGTATCTCAAAGTACAAGGGATCTTTACATATTATCCCATAGTACACGGGATCTTTACATGGGATCGCAGAGTACACGGGATCTTTACATGGGATCGCAGAGTACACGGGATCTTTACATGGGATCGCAGAGTACATGGGAATGTATATAGGTTCTTCTAGACCATTCAATGTAAAGTAAAGTGGTTGATGAATGCC